AGTAGTTCGTTGACAGGCAAATAACTAGTGTAATGCTTCGTTAGTCATCCGTGTACAAAAAAAACTCTTACAGTACACTTGTCAGTTAGTGCAATGATTGTGAAATAAATAGGCAGACAGCTTTTTTATGACATTAATACGCGCATAAAGCGTGGCCGTTATGTTCAACCACTGAAACGCCTTGGGATAAATATTCGCGAAATGGATGAAAATTGCCTCTAAATTACGTTGCTTTGTGAAACATCCAAAGAAAATGGACGATGGTATGAAGAGAAGCAATGACTCGGTCCTTCTCCTTTATTTACCCACACACGTAAATAAGGGGCAGGTGCCAGTAACGTCACGTGGTTCTATATTTGATTACCACAATGCCCCACGACGAAATAACTATACAATGCCAGACACGACAGCTGCACCCCAATTGCAAATTCTTAAAGACACATGCATGTTGCGACTCGTGATTTTCCCCATTCCTTAACAATCGGATTTTTTTAAAAAGTGCGGGTCATTTTATGGTGTGCTAACTACCATTCTCTCAAGAACACTGCATGCGTTTCTTATGGATTGTTATACGTACATGTTTTGTATATTCTAATGCCTTAATTAGTTGGTTTTTTTTGGTACAAACTCCTCGCTCCACTTATACCACATGCAAATTCGTTCAATTGTATCAGCCATCTGCTTGGTTCTACAGGAATCCGCGGGAAATACAAACCAAGCGAATGATTGTACTCCAGTAGTGTGTTTTCATGTAATCGTAATGTTCACCACAACGACGCAAATTCATATTACTAAAATATTTCCAATCATAAAATAATTATATATATATATATATATATTATTTTTTTTAATATCATTATAATGTATTAATATTTAAATGCGGGGCATTCCAAACCTCTCCATGCTAATAGCTAAACTACTATTATACGGTGCGTCAACTGAGTGGCTTACATATTGTATTTGCGGTGTCTTTGTGTTTTGTTTGTCAGGTGAATAAATAAATAATTCCTTGGAGTTGAAGAACATTATAATCAAGAGTATCAAATGCATCGATGACTATCAATTCTGGTTACTTTGTAGTAACCAACTTGTGGATTGGTTATTTTCGTCACTTCATTAATTTTCAAATTTAAAAATTGTTAATGTTGGTTATTTGTTTTGTTTTGTTTTTGGAAACGACGCCACACTGATAATAGACCCCACGCTGGCGATGAGGTACTACTATTCCGCAAATTGAGTCTCAGTGTACCGGTATCCACATTGCGGTGTGCTCATTGAGCGGCTCTAACCTTTCTCTGGTAGATATTGTTCCCTAAGATGCATTCTATAGTTGGAGCCCATTATCATCCACAGTAAATTCTCCAGGCCCCACCTGTCAGTGGTAACGACCGTTCCTGTTACACAATGCTGGCAACCCAAAACATACATTGCGATGATATGCTCGCCAAATTATTCGGCAAGTGCTCCCTAAATTATGTTTATAATTCGAAGTAATAGGCCCTGAAAGTCTTGCATACTTTTGAAAATAGGCATAATTTGTAGAATGACGTATAAATCTCATGGAATATTTTTAGTATATTGATAATTGGCAACCAGGTGTATGGACGATCTTCGAGGAGAAGCCGCCTGTGTGCGAGAATTTGAAACAATCATGACAACAATGAAATAAAAATAATTGAATTTATTCGAATTGAATTGAAATTTTCCTTAACACGACAGGAAAAAAAACAACATAATTTGGTCACTGTCTGCTCAACGTGCCTCGGTTACCACTGAGCGTCACACACATTTTCGACACAGTGCTTCAGGTGGAGTCTACTTCATCCACGAGTCTGTCCGTTCACTTCATGCCGAACAATGTTACTCGTGATGAACTGTGACCACGCCTTGTGTTCAAATCAAATGTTATTGTTGTAATCTGTCTGTAGTAAATCTATTCATTTGAAGACAAAATAAAATATATATATATATAAGCAGAAAACTATCCTTGACCAACCCTACGCCTTTGAAGCGGTCGACGCCCAGGGGAACGGTGAAAGGCACTTGCTGGGCTTGAACAATCGATAACCTTGTATGGGGGCCTAGCGGACTTGTCAGTACAAAGCTATTGAGGACATAGAATAAAACAGTTACTTCAGCATTGAACGCGTCCCCGTTACCACCTTTGAACAGGTTGACAGGACGTATTCATAGCCGAGATCTTAACCGCTCGACAGTTTGTCTCGAAAAACACACAATCTCGTCTCCTTTCCGATTCGTACATAGGTGGTTCTCAGATAAAGTTTTTTTTTTTGTGCGTTTTGCAGAGTGGCGTGTTGACAATTCTTGTCAAGACAGGTGTTCTATTTTTCAGTTTAGATCTGTCAGGTTGGTCTCGGACGAAAGGATTCTTGTACACCCATTGTTACTCATTAATAAATGCCTTTCCCTTCCCTACCACGTGGTCATGGCAACCCGATGAAACACTAGGATGATCGGACACCACGTCTTTATATGATTTTAGGAGGGTTCGCTCTGCCTTTGAATGAAAGTGTCATTGCATTGTTGTGTTTCCATTATTTGGAATTATTTTATTGGTTTCTACGTTACTAGTAGCTATCTTACTCGGCATCCAAACTATGCGATATAAAAGCCACTGACTTAGCACGTAATACTAGCAGGTACTTTTTGTTTGGCTTTTCAATGGATGAAGCATATCTTCTGACACTGCCGTGCCCGTTACACGTGGGCAGAAATCAATGTTCTCGGAATGTGCACGCTTTGCAATCAATGCACAGGTTGTACTCAGGTTACGTCATCCATGTCCGAGCGACACTCTTATATCAACTGCCCCCAAACAATCAATGCGATATTAAACATCAAGTTGTTGCCGTGGTTACTAATTAGATACATAGTGTTGTTGCTAAGGAGCAAGTGTATGTTGTTGACAGTTCTTGCAACATAAATGCGAGAATACCTCGTATTCGTGTTACCATGTAAAATGAAATTGGCGAACGCTGACGTGTACTCTGTCACCGGAAAGTATCTACGGAAAAAAGAGACCGATCTACAATAACTATATAGTTTGTGTGTGGTTCTGTTTATCTGACATTAACCTAATCACTCTGTAATGCCTACAACTTTAAATGTTAATGCGTCGAGCAGTAATAAGATGTGTATTGTAAAATGCCGCCGTAACGTGGGAAAATGTTATATCAAGCATCACTCTGGAAACATTATTTCAAACTGGTATTGTGTTGTAAACGTTGGGACGGCAGATCGTCGCTCTGCAGAGAAATACCGGTCCTCGTCGCATCACTCGCGGTCTCCATCATAAGTATAGAGATATAATCGTCGAACCTTCCTTCGGTAATCCGGGACACTCTCCACTCATAACAACTAGACTCTTAACATTAATGAACATCTTCAAAAAAAAAAAAAACGTTTAGCAACCACAAAAATGTCGTGTATATGAAAGCGATTATATGCAATCTGACTTGAAACAGTTTATTTTCACTTCCGGAGAGTGGGTCTATTACCGTTTAATTGAAAGTGGAGATTTTTCTTATAAATCGGTGTATGCGACCAGCTGGTTGAATAGTTAAGTATATAAACCGAATCGGATTGTGAAAGAAGCTCTCCGCGGAATTGATGGCGATATCCAAAGCAATAATTCAACGACCTAATCACTCCATATTCGAATTGTTAGTGGATAAAATGCACGGATTACTATCAACAAAGTACTTGATTGTAAGGTGGCAATGGTTCAATCAAAATGTCAGGTGGAAAACGTAACCTAGCGAAAATATATAAACTGTTTTTTTGCATTAATTGTATCGCTTTGTACTTTAAATGTGCCGAAAACAGCCTCCCTTGGCGACTTTACTCGCAGTGTAATGGGGACTTACATCGCGAACGCATTAGCGGATTTGACCATCTCAGCCGGCAATGCTACGGAGTGCAAAAAAGAGAGAACAGATTTCTGAGAAAAATCTGTCAAACAATTCTTATCCTCCACGTCAGAGATTATTATATTGTACAGGAAAGAACTTGCGTAGAGCGATATTGTATACAAGGTGATTTAGATGCTAAGACGTTTTGCTTTGACATGTGGATTCATTCATCGTTGCATGTTTCGCTTCCTCGTTCCCTGTAGCGATTAGAGTGGTCGGATTACGTGCCCATCTTGGGCTAAGGACCAAATTGATATCCCGTTAAAATAAACAATTAACTCTTGTGTTTTTGTTGACTTCTCTACCAAACTGTGACTGGTGTTAATTGCATTATGTGTAGTGACGACCCACGGCGTGGTCTACTCCCAGCAGGGGCGCTAGCCATATGTCGATGTTGTGTACACATTGAAAGGAAAGATTGCTTCCGTTCTATACGATGAGACGATGACGTGTGACCCGTCTACAGAGCGGTTCAAGGTCAATCATTGAACATATGGTGCGTTGGAGGGGTTTAAAAGTTCGTGGTTTTGATGAAAGGACAGTTGAATTATCTTAGTATATCTGCCATTGTCTGTATATAATGGGCTCCCATTTTTTGTCTCTAAAAAAAATGCTTTTATGAATTCCACTATATATTAACAGTGAAATATGGTTACGCAAATCCCATAACTGCTAAAATGGACGGACTGCAATAATCTGATTGTTTTTCAGTGTCGAATGCGGCACTTTCACTTCATCTCGAAACTTTAAAAAGGATATTTCAGATTGGAGACCCTTGTTAATATGTAATATCCCTATCCCATCACTCCAACATTGTATATCTCCAAAACTTTCACAGAGACGTTTCTAAGGTGTATTCACACGCGTTAGATTGTCTCGCATTTGCCGGGGGTATCCCCATGGTGTCACCGATATCATTACGATATTACCACACATCGCCTGAGCTCACAGTGTTGACGTAGATGCCACTGAACACGGATGTCTGGGAAACAAGCATACGTACTATGAATAGGACCCAAGAAAACATCCACTGAAAGGAAAGTCAATGAGCGTGAAACTACTCTGTCGTTCATGGATACAAATAATTTATTACCAATACAATAACGTTAGCATGGTACATACAAGCCGAGGATCGACACTGTGATCCCCCGTCGTCAACATCTCAACAAAAAATAAAGAATTTTAATAAAATTTTAAACAATACATTTCTTTCATTTTTAAACATCAAAATAAATTCTCTCTCCCGCTGTCCAACCCTTTTCAATATAAAGGGTGAAAGTTGACTATTTGTAAGCGTAAGATTTTCTATATACACGTATATATTTATATGATCTGTTACATTAGCTCCGTGGGAAGGCATCTTTCAGAGGTAAAAATACTTGATATCTCGACGACATTGGTGAGCTTAGTCTGTATATAAGTTTTTTTTTTTGCAATTATTGCTATATTTACCACTAGGTAGCTCGCTATGGATACCAAGCGATGTCACAATTATGAGCTAACGAGGCTGATGGAGGTTTCCCTCATTTCCGTGCAGGGGAGGGAAGAACTCTCAGCCGAGCTACTCCATGGGAGTCGCTATACAAGTGCTCGCGTTGATACATATAATGAGTTGAAAATTAACAATGAACAGTTGGCGGTACGAACCGAATCTTCTATTAACGAAACATTAGACAGGCTTCAGTCAGAACCATAATCTCAAGGACTGAATTACACTAAAAAATACACAAATTTCTGATTGTTGTTACACGGTTAATAACATGTAAATAAAACATCGACCACTCCGTATATCAATGCATATTAACTGTATTAATTCTGATGAAACTCCCGATATGCTCTTTCTTTTTGCGTATCTAATCTGTACCCCAAACTAAACCAGTCCCGACTCAATCTTAATAGCCAATTTGATGACTAGATTGATTTTTAAATACAGATATTCATAAGCGTATGTGTGCTTGTGTCTGCAAAAGAAATGTCTAGTAAATCAGTGTAATAACAATATAACATGTAAGTAGTAGGGGGGAAGTCAAATGATGACCTCCTTGTCAAAATCACTTATAATAATGTTCGTTATTATATCAGTTGTACTCTGGCAGTTGAAATATGTACTATATGTCTCTGGCAGAAATTGAAATAAATCTGTGGCACTCAGTTTACGACTGTCAGTTGTAGTGTAATTGTTTTAGTATAGTGTTTCATATAGACGTCACCGAACAACACCCCGCCTCCTCGTGCTTTGTTAACAATGACATCCTCGAAAATGTCTTGGAGCAGCTTTTGCAGCAATATTTCTTGACATCCGAGTGGGTCTGAAGGTGTGCACGAAGATTCGAACGGTCGGCGAATGCCCTATTGCAGTATGTACACGCGAACGGTTTTTCCCCGGTGTGCGTTCTGATATGTCCTTGCAGTAACCACGGTCTTGAGAATGCCTTACCGCATATTTTGCATTTGCACGGCAAAGTGTGCGTGCGTATGTGCATTTTCAATGCTCCTAAAGACAGGTACTCTTTCTCGCAGTACTTGCAACTGAATGACTTCTTAGCCTGCGTCACACAGTGGAACTGCTTGTGTTTTGTGAGACCGCTGAACGTAGAATAACTCTTGCTACATTCTGTGCATTGATATCGCGTATGTTCCCCGTTACTGGAGCGTTTGCCTTTCCCAAGTTTCAAGTTCTCAATCGCTGCGGAAGTCGGCGACGCTGACGACAGTGGCGGAGGTGGGGGTGGTGGCGATGGATGGAAATGGTGATGATGATGATGGTTTTCCAGAGTCATTCCTTGAATCATTACGGGAAGAGTACCGGGTAATGGAGGTGGCGTCATGTCGTGAAGTTTCAAGTCATAACTGTCATGATGACTCTGGGGCATGACAGGAGTGATCGGCAGGTTCTCCGTCCATCGCCAATACTCGTTAGGCGTAATATGGACAGGTTCTGGTTTCAGGACTACAGGCGGTGACACGTCATAGTACGCTTTGAACACTGCAAGGAAAAGGAAATTAAGTATTAGACATTGCTACTACTTTTTTATAACGGCAAATTAGTCTGTGAACAAAAATGAATATTAATGTTAACATTAGCGCTGTTTTTTTTTTCTCAGTACTACATCTTACGTGAAAAGGTTATTGCTATTTGCTTGATATTATAGCGTAATTTCGTTTGATTGACTTTCCGCTGAGTTCGCGTCAGAACATCTGATTGTACATTGGCAAATAAGCGGTTTACCCATGCGTAAAATTCGCACATCACGGAGTTTGTGTCATGTTTATTAGACGGACCCTCAACTACCTTGTCAATGACCCGGTAAACAAAAGATAGTCAGTAGTTTGAATCAAGGTAGAGGTGACCATAAACAATACCACATTAAAAACTCAGTTTAGTCACCTGCTACCATTGCCGGGTAGTTAGGGGATATAAAAAAAAAACGAGGACGCTACGGCAGTGATAAAAAGCCCAAGGCAAAACTGTCGTTGGACAGTGTCATTGTAATACAGAGGAACGATTGATAGTAGGTCCGCTATTCTTTTATAAGCGTTCAGTTGGCCTCTAACAAGCACGGCGCACATCCAAGTATTGTTGTCGGAAAATCAATTACAGCCAAGGAAAAGTAATAAGTATACGAGCGAGATAGCGTAACGCTGATTAGGCATGGTGGTCGGTGACTGTTACCGTTATTTGCCCGTTTGTTTTCACTAGTGGCATGTCCACTACTCCAAACGTAAAATCAAAGGAGAGGCGATTTAACGTACCTGTACGCAGGATACCACTCTGTTTCCGATGACTGTGATTACAGTGTTTTTTGATGAGAAATGAACGAGGCATATCGACGGCCGCGGCGTGGAGATGTCTACGATGTTGGTTAAGCTGGAGAGCAGGTCACTGGTGTACCGGTGATCTGGATGGGTGAACTTGAAGACGTTTCGCGGAGAACTGTCTATAAATGCCCTTGTTGAGATGCTACTAACTGCATGACAACACATACCAATGTGTCGTGCACTGTGAAATCACTTCGCGTCAGGTGCATTTAAATGAGCACGTGGGTGGCAGCCAATCAGAGAACGAGTTGCTTTGGGTTGACGCCAATCAAAACAGTTGTTACAAGGCGGGGTTAGGGACCGACATGCGAACCAATGGTGTGCTTTGTGTTGCAGGTGCATTGTGCTAGGGGAGATAATGACTATTTCCACTTTCATGAAAGGTATTGAGAACCAAAATAAAGCCAGCCTTTCAGAAAGGGAAACGAATGAGACGCGTTGTTCAAAAGCTTGACCCCATCATTCACAACCACGCCAGGGTATTTTTTTATGTGCGTGTTTTATGTCGAATGAAATAAACAAGTTTCACTGAACAGTTCACAAACCACGAAAAATAAACCAACGCTCAGAAACAGGAATGTCCTTTTTATAACAACCACGTGTATTGACCTGCCAGGTGATTCCATCCAAAACACAAGCAGGTGCAATAATCTGGTGCTGAAATGGCTCTTGCATAGATACAACTGAAGTGGCTCGTAGCCAAATCTCTGGTATTGGAATTCGAATGGGCTTATTGGCGCTGTTTCAAACATGAAACCGGCTACAATAATTTGTACATCGCCTAGGTACTGGCGGCAGCCCTGAAAACACTTTCCGTTTCTCGCGCATTAAAGGTTCCGTTATAATCTCTATCTTACATTCGGTCGGTCACGAGCAATGTGTGTGCAACATACGTTTTGTTCTTTCAACATTCGAATTATTTCCATCACACATATCAGCTGCCAGGGAGCATTTCCGGGGATTACTAAGTTTGCTTTTCACCCGAACAGACGGGAAAGATCTCAAAGATCAGATAATCAAATAAACAACGACTGTTTTATTTTTGATGGCCACCGCTGGGGGGTTTGTTAATACCATCGTGGGTAAATACACTGTATGTATTACGCCGGCATTATAAGTCAACATCATATTAAAAACAGGCTGTGGCCGAGCAGATGGGAGAGCAAAACACACTTCAAATGTCAGTCAGTCAACAGAGTTAGAGAAAACAAACAAAAAAAGACTCCGCCATGTTTTCTTTATCTCGGTTGTAACTGGTTTCGGCTCTACTGCTAACACATTGGTATATGGGAGCATTGATAATACAACGATTCTGGATGCTTTTATTTAAACAAAATTTGCTCAAAATATTAATTTTTATCCATATCCAACTTCAATTGAAAACATTCATGGATTTACAAGTTTTGGTTGTTGTTTTTTCTAATTATTTAAAATTACAGAATTTGTTGAGATAATCCCCTACCCGTGCCTACTCTCTACTCTCTACGAGTTTATAAGTTTATAAGTGTGCAATGGTGCCGTAAATCACGTGTTTTACGAAATTCGTACAAGTTGATATTTGGTTCATAATATTTTATGGTAAGCAATGGTATTTGAGCAAACATTAGAATCTACGGCACTTGTGTAATGATTAATAGACCACTTGAAAACCTATTTTCCCAAATAAATTCGCATAAACGTATGTCACGTGCAGTTCCCATGTCTATACGTGTTTCTGTCTTCAAATCGTATGCTATGGAGTGTACGTGCATCTGTGACGGTTGACACGCGGCGATTCGAAATCGCCAAATTGTACACGTTGCTTCGAAAAAAAAGGATGTAAACGACACGTCCATAAAGCCGCGATGACGGGCGCAGCCTGTGAGCTGTCGCCGACGTACTGGCATTCCAGCACACACGTAAAGCCTGGCCATACTCACTTTGGTGCCACCTGCCTACGATGTTTTGTTGGGAGACTGAGAGGACCTCCAACTAATATACACTACTCACAATGACCATTTGTTGAGTGTGCCGACATAGCTAGACAGCTGGGAGAACAGAGTGAAAAGCAACAGCAGGTGTAAAACTCTAACTCGTGTATAAATACCTGATTATTTCTTTACCGTACGGGCTGTGTACATGCATGCGCAGTTTGCATACATTTAAACAAAATGTCAAACTCTATCATTCGCGACATTTCTTCAGAACAAGTGTGCTCATTTCCCGCGTGTTTTGTTTTTTTTATATATTTTTTTTTATAATGAAGTGATTTATATCTGAAATTGTCCGAATATAATGACGATTTTTAAACACATCACCACTGTACGTAGTTGGCGATTGAAGCGTCGCGTGTGCGTGAGAAAGATGCCGCGCTACGAGTGCTGTATTGCAATGTTTTTATTTCTTACTGTGTCTGCGCTGGAACGCATTACAGCGTGTGATTACTGGTTCACTTACTTCCACTGTATTTAACGGGACTCTACGATCCCTTTGGTCATGTAGCCAACTGGGGTGATCTTTTGTTCGATATAAAGACTCGCCAATCTGTGGGATTCTATACGTGCTTTGTAACCATTGTTCGAGTAAACAACGATCTTAGTTTACTCGGTGTATAAACTGGCCCGTTCATAGCTCTCGGAGACCCCATGCCTTCGGGCAGACAACACATAACTGCACATCGGATGCCGAGAAGACCCCGGTACCCGAGCTTTTCGTTACACTTCAACGTAGTTGTCAATTTCATGACAACATGTTTGATTTCAGGGTGTATATACATTCAAATTGTTCACCCAAATGACGAGTCAAGTGTTTTTTCGACGATTTTTACACAAAACGCACGGGACAGACTCGGACATTGATGTGTATTCTGTACTATTCACATTAAACCCAGACCAAACATTGTATATTTCGTGTCAGTTTCTTTTAACGCTGGCATTATTTTTCGCCGTCTGCGTTGTGAGCAGCTGGCAAACACAAAACCGACGTCTGATCGCTTTCACTGGACCCTGCACCTGTCGTTCCTTTCAAAACTTCAACGGTATTGTCTTGCATGCCATCACCCGGAGGAGACGAGGGCCACGCGTTTTGTCGTGTGAAAGGCCAGTTTTCGCGATTGCTTTGTAACATGGAAAAAAAAGCGTCATTGATTGTGGGCGACGTAGACATTTCATCTTAATTCGCGCGAATTCCGACACACCTGCTTGCTTATGACGCATCTGTTGTGTGGGCGTTACCGTTTGTTCCGTATTGCACTGAAGGGGGCGCTATAACAATTATCCACGTGGAACGGAAAGAAAGGGTATCTTGCATTATACTCGGTTTGGGACCCGCATCTATTTGATTGATTGTGTGATACCCGCATGGCACATTCACTTCAACTTTATACCACCAAGGGACCTAGGCATGGGAGACCCACACACACACACACACACGTTGTCCTGGATCTGGAATTGCTTTTTGCAATGTGCATGTTTTGTGCATTAAAGCCTGGAACATGGCCTCACATATTCCGATCCAGGGGTTTTAGTATGACATATAATAAGCCCTTTTAATGCATCATCCAGGACCAGTCTATTCTGACAACCTCGTCATGTTAACCAAACACGGCACATATCGATGTAGGTGAACCGCGGTGTCCGTGAATACGCACCCAATTCATGATACTACACCGTTGTGACCAACTTTTATCCGTGACATTTTGAGCTGAAATAGATTCATTATCACATTATTACTACAGAAAACATGTTGAAGTTGTCCTACCAACATACATCACCGATGCGCGGAAAATAAAGAATAAAGTTTAATGTTAACGAAGAATTGAAATTATAAACTCTGCAAGCGAAGAAGGTGGCAGAACAAATGCGCACATTTTTTTCTTTGAGATATACTCGTTTCATGCTGTTGCTACTATTGTAAGAAAAATGTATTTTATTCTTTTTCAAATAAAGGTATCGTTTCTTTCTGTCATTTTCTTTGCGGGATTTTTTTTCAAACATTCTCTCATTCAACTGCCGGATAAATTGTACTAAATTCACTTATAGTTGGGCAAAGTTCTGTCCCGTGTAACAGGTAAAACGCATGAGTTGTTCTCGGTGTCGCTTCAACTTTTATGTGGCGATAAAAAAAAAACTTTCACATTCTTTTAAGCAAACACAAAATATTCGGCACATGAGACAAATTCGGCAGCATAGTTTTGAATCAAGTGCACCAGCGACAAAACTTATCACGTGGCATAACCCAGTGAGTTCGCGCCCCGCGTAGGGTGCCATAGAGATAGAGTGTGTCGGCACCTGAATTTGGTGGGAAACAGAAATGATGACATGACATCTCGTCTCTCGTAAATCTCGAGAGGCGTCGTCTAAAGGGTCGTGAGAAAATCTCAAGAAGACGTTCCATACTTATTCACATACTAAGCCATCAGACAGTACGCCGTCGGCACTGCACGCGTTTCTACGCAGTACTCTGGGTCTAATAACAGAAGACAAATCGTTAAAAGTGAAATACCCCGCCACACAAAAATGGTCCACAGCTCACTACAATAATTACATAAAAAACATATCAAAATTTGGCGTTTTTTAAAAACAATTATTCGTTCATGAATTATTTTTTTAGTTGCTATGTTATTTACATGGAAACGGCCGCCCCAGGGTGCATTGCAACGCTCTGACGACTGTACCCTCTATAGTTGTTTTATGAGGCGGAGAGCATCGAAGTTTTTTCAACGGTATTCAGTGCTTTCAGCTTTATCCGGCAGGTGCAACGGTACCTTGAATAGGCACTGTAGAGCTATTCTGTGCCAACAGTAAATACAAATCTCCGTCCGCATCATCCACGATACATCAAAAGCGAAGATGAATTCCACTACATGGTAGATACGCCCATTCGACTTTTCTATGCCCGCTAATTGGGCACGGGTGCCAGTACTGTGGTTGGGTCGTTGTCGGTATGGTGCCGCTCTCAGTATATTGGGCCGTTCACTATTTTAAGTACAAGTGTTTACGGGGATAGTACTGGTCCGCGCCAAATACCGTTGCAAAAACTTGAACATCATATTCATTCATAGATTAGTACTGTCATATCCTGACGTTAACGGCTTTTCATCAATGACATAAACGTTTTTAGTTTATTTATTTGTTTGTG